AGGGATACTTGGATTTTCTATTTCTTTTCTTTTTTTTTTGTTTTGGTGGAGACGGGGTCTCACTATGTTGCCCAGGGTGATTTCAAATGCCTGGCATCAAGAAATTCAAGAAATCTTCCTGTCTTGGTCTCTCAAAGTGCTAGGATTACAGGTGTGAGCCACTGCACCCAGTTGATTTTCTGTTTCTTCTTCTGTCATTTTGGCAAGTTGTGTCTTTTAAAGACTTTGTACACTTCATTTTTGTTGTTGAACTTTTCGACATAACACTGTTCATAGTATGCTTTCATTTTTCCTTTAATATCTTTGTAATTTGTTGTGATGTCCTTTCTTTTATTCCTGATATTTGTAGTTTGTGTTTCTTTTTTGATTAGCCTTGCTATGAGTTTATCAGTTTTATTAACCCTTTCAAAGAGCTTACTTCTGCTTTGCTGATATTCAGTTTCATTGATCTACTCTATTATGAACAATATCTTCTTTCTTTGGTTTTGATTAACTCTTTTTCTAGCTTCTCAAGTAGGTAACAGATCAGTGATTTTATGTTTTTTTCTTTTCGAATCCAGGCATTTTAAAGCTACACAATTCCCCTAAAGAGCTGCTTTAACTGCAGCCCTCATATTTTGACACATATTATCATTCAGTTCAAAATATTTTCCTCAATTTTCTTTGTGATTTATTCTTTGAACTATAAGTGATTTAGAAGTGTACAGTTTAATTTCCAAACAATTGTGGGGATTTTCTAGATATTTTATTATTATTGATTACTAATTTAACGACGTAGTGGCCAAAGAATATACTCTGTATAATTCAAGTGTTTTAAATTTATTGAGACTTGTGGCCCAGCATATGGTCTATTGTGGTGAAGGTTTCATGTGCACTTCAGAGGAATGTGTATGCTGCTTTTGATGCGTGTAGTACCCACGAATACCAATGGCATCAAGTTGGTTGATAGTGCTATTCAGAACTTCCATATCCTTACTGTTGTTTTCCCCCCTAACTTTACCAGCTATTGAGAGAAGGGTGTCAACATCTCTAACTATGGGATTTTGGTGGTGTCTATATTTCCTTTGTTCTCTCAATTTTTGCTTTATGTATTTGGGGCTTATGATATCACATTATATATGTATATTTTAATTTTATTTTTATGTATTTATTCTTTTTGAGACAGAGTCTCACTCTGTCACCTAGGCTGGAGTACAGTGGCACAATCTTGGCTCACTGCAGTCTCCGTCTCCCGGATTCAAGTGGTTCTCCTATCTCAGAGTCCCAAGTAGCTGGGATTACAGGCGTCCGCCAGCACTTCTGTCTAATTTTTGTATTTTTAGTAGAGATGGAATTTCACCATGTTGGCTAGGCTGGCCTCGAACTCCTGAACTCAAGTGATCCGCCCACAGCAGCCTCCCAAAGTGCTGGGATTATAGACATAAGCCACCGCACCCTGGCCCATATATTTGGTTTTTATCTCCATTTCCTGACATAACAGCTTCTCTCTTGGAATCTCGTGAGTGATAAGAGTGCGTTTTTTATGCTAATAAGATGACTATGGCCAGGGGTCCTAAGGTAGCTTCAGGATGGGGCTGGTCACCATAAAGACCAAAGCAGGATTAGGGGACTGGAACTTTCAGCACCCCCCTACCACAGGGAGGGGAGAGGGGCTAAAGGTTTAGTTGATCACCAGTGGCCAATGATATATTTTCTGACCTCTTTACTCTTTATTATTTACTCATTCCTTTTTGCAGAACTATGCTTTTAAGATTTTATGTATCTATATAGCTCTTTCTTTATATTTATCTATATATACACATATATATTTTTGAGATTCTGAAAGTATAAGTATACATATAGGCATATATTTTTACATTTCTTATAATGCAGTACTGCTGGAGTCCAGCATCTACTTCTTCATTTTATAACTTGGATTAGATATCAGTTAACTATCTATACCATGCCTCTTATTTTGTCAAAGAGAATGTTTATTTTAAACCTTAAGCTTTCTGGTGAATCATAAATCATAACTTCCTGTTTTGATTTAGCCAGTGAGGTAATATCAAGTTGCTTCCCCAGATTTTTCTTTTTTTTTATTTTTGAGACAGAGTTTTTGTTCTTGTTGCCCAGGCTGGAGTGCAGTGGCACAATCTCAGCTCACTGCAACCTCTGCCTCCCGGGTTCGAGTTGACTCTCCTGCCTCAGCCTCCCAAGTAGCTGGGATTACAGGCATGCGCCACCATGCCCAGCTAATTTTGTATTTTTAATAGAGACAGGGTTTCTCCATGTTGGTCAGGCTGGTCTTGAACTCCCAACGTCAGGTGATCCACCTACCTTGGCCTCCCAAAGTGCTGGGATTGCAGGCATGAGCCACCACTCCTAGCCTCCGATTTTTCCTATATATAAATTTTACAGTGGCTTATCCTTAAAAAATACTTAAGTTATTCTGTTATTGCTGCATAACAAATTACCTGAAAATTTAGTGGTATCCAACCATAATGTTTCATTTTTCTCATGATTTTGTTTGTCAGGAATTAGGTGAGGCAGTCTCACTTTGGAGTCTTTCATGCAGTTTTGGCCAGATGTCAGCTGGGGCTGCATTCTACTGGGCCAGAAACCTACAATGACCCTCACACATGGCTGGCAGGTTGTTGGGAGCTCAGCTGAAACTGTTGGCTGGAGCATTTATATGCAGCTTGTCCATTATAGTGATTTCAGGATAACTGGACTTTTTACATGGTGGCTGATTTCACCTGAGAGTAAGTCTCTCAAGAGAACCAGGCAGAAATTTTTCGTACCTTTTAAGGGCTTTTCAGAACTATACTTGGTGTAGTATCACTTCTGTTGTGTTCTATTGTTTGAAGCAGTCACAAGGCTGTCCAGATTCAAGCGGTGGTGACATAGCCTACATATCTTCATGGGATGAGTGTCAAAGAGCTTGTAGGCAATATACTGCTTCATGGTTACTGAAGTATATCTTACATATAATAAAATGCGCAGATCTTAAGCATTGAGTTCAATGAATTTTGGTAATTGTTTAGACCCGTGCATCTACTGCCTGATGTCAGGTAGAGAACATTGTTTTCACTCTGTAAACTTCCCTTGTGTGCCTTTCAGGTCAATCCTCACACATAGTTTTTCCTGTTCTGTGAGGCACGTAAGTGGAATTATACTATTTGTGTATTTGACTTCTTTAACTCAACGTAAAACTTTCAGATTCATCCATATTGATGTATCACTTGTATGTTCTTTTTTATTGCTGAGTTGTATTTCACTGTATGCATATACTACAGTTTATCCCTCACCCATTGTTGGACATTTATTTCTAGTGTGTAGCTTTTATAAATGAAGATGATATGAACATTCTTGTATATATCTTCAAATGTTATCATGGTATCTTTGGAATAATACTTTCATATTAAAATCCAGTGTTTCTAAATTATTTCAATGCTCAAAGACCTTTGAAATTTACCTCTCCACATGGTAAGGATTTACTATTACAAGCTTTTTGGGATTAAGGAGGCAATAATTTATAGCAGGGAGTTCCCAACCCTGGGGCCATGGATCAGTACCAGTCTGTGGCCTGTTACGAACTGGGGCACACAGCAGGAGGTGAGTGGTGGGAGAGCAAGTGAAGTTTCATCTGTATTTACAGTCACTGCCCACCACTCACATTACCACCTGAGCTCTGCCTCCTGTCAGATAGTGGCAGCATTAGATTCTCATAGAAGTGTGAACCCCATTGTGAACTGTGCATGCAAGGGATTCTAGGTTGTGCACTCCTTATGAGAATCTAATGCCTTATGATCTGTTGCTGTCTCCCATCACCCCCAGATGGGACTGTCTAGTAGCAGGAAAACAAGCTCAGGACTCCCACTGATTCTACCTTATGGTGAGTACCTTATAATTGTTTCATTATATACTATAATGTAATAATAATAAAGTGCACAATAAATGTAATGTGCTTGGATCATCCCAAAACCATCCCACCTTCCCCCTCCATCTGTAGGAAAATTGTCTTTTATGAAACTGGTCCCTGGTACCAAAAAGCTTGGGGACCACTGGTTTATAGGATCCACTAGAAAGTATGGAATGGTGTCTTACCAAGAAAACCAAAATCTCTATCATGCATCATTTATTTCACTTACATAAATGCTCAGCATGAAAAATTATAGAGATGGCTAAGATTTTAAAAAATGGAAATGAAAATTTCCCCTCAGAACCAATTTTTCTTCTGCAGCCTTCTTCAAATCTCATCCCCTGGAGGTCAGAAAAAAGGATGGGTTAGAATTCCAAATTTCTTTGTGTGTGCAGGAGGAAGAGGATAGTATTGTTGCAAAGTGGAAGTTCATTATTGACCACAAACTACAAGTCTGGGTTCAGTAATAAGAACACTTACATCCTTTCTAGATAACCCAATCCTAAGATATTACTACTGTTACCAAAGAGGGAGTGAAGGTCTCTGAGAATGTAGGAGTCCCTTTAATAGATGGGGAGAAATGGGTTAAAGATTTTAAAAAATTGCACAGACAGTAGTTGTTTGCGCTTTGGTTATGGGTGAATTATCTCTATCCGAGTTAGGAGTGGAGGACTGAAGTATGTCTAAATGCACAAACTAAAGCTCTGCAGGCTTGGAAAGAAATTTTCTTTTGTAACAAAAGGGTAGGCCCTTTGCTACAGACATGAGTGATTAGTTACAATAGGTTATTAGGGGTATCATCCAGGTAATGAAATGTTCAACAAGAAGATTATAAAGGTTAACTAGATTTGCCCCATGGATTTTGCCCAGTGGTTTTGAAGGCAAAACAAGATTAATTTGAATATGTAGGGAAGAAAAAGAACTTGCGATTGATGAGGGGCTGATTTTTTACATTTAAAAAAGCCTGATGGTGTCAACTACAAATTTAAAATCTGTATTGTGTATACACAGAGCAATCTCTAGTGTGGCACCGGATTAATGGGGGTACCTTGAAAAATCAGGTCAAAATAAAGTGACAGAAATTATAAAACATACATGATAATGATAATAAAGAAGACATTTATTTCTCATATTCTTTTAGGGGAAAGGAGAAAAGTCAGTGTGCCCTACCCGATGATGGTCTTTCTGAAAGATTCTCCATTCATTCCATAGAACTGGATAGGTTGCTTCATCTCAGAGAATTTTGTACTCTTAATTTGTAAAGAGAACTTCTGTTCAAGAGAGTGGTCAAAGGTTGAGCCTCTGTGAGCAGCTTCGCTGGTGCACAGCCAGGCTCCCTCTCTGGGTGAAGCTTTTTCCACACTGGCCACACAGATAGGGTGTCTCTCCTGTGTGGATTTTGCCATGCAGAATACAATTCCCCCTAGTGTGGAAACTCTTCCTGCACTGGGTACAGGCATAGGGCTTCAGGCCCGTGTGGACTCTGATGTGAACAATTAAGCTTCCTTTCTGACTGAAGGCTTTTCCACACTGATCACATCTATAGGGCTTCTCACCACTGTGAACTCTCCTGTGAACAGCAAGGTTACTCTGATTCCTGAAGCTTCTCTGACAAATAGCACACTCGTAGGGTTTCTGTCCAGTGTGGAGTCTCTCGTGGACAGCGAGACTACCTCGTTGACTGAAGCTTTTCCCACACTCCTTGCACTGATAAGGCTTCTCTCCCGTGTGTATCCGCTGATGTGTAACAAGATTGCCTTTGGCCCTGAAGCTTTTTCCACAGTGGGTGCACTCAAAAGGCTTTTGACCAGTGTGGATTCTCTCATGTAACGTTAGACTACCTTTTTGCCGGAAGGATTTTCCACACTCCTGGCACTCATAGACCCTTTGTCTCACTCCAGGTGAATCTTCCTGTAGGGTCTTCGAATCTGGGGATTTTTGTTCCAGCTTCTCTCTTCTGAAAGAATTTTGGATATCCCAGCTTGAGGATCCTGTAGCCTCAGAGTGGTCATACTTGTGGTGGGCTTCAGTCATCACATCTGATAAAATGAGAGGGAAGTCACGTAAGAAGCACCAATATGCTGATTTAGAATAGGGAAAAAGAAACATAATTCTTTGAGTGCTTATGATGTGCCAGGCCTTATTCTGTGCATAGACAATGCAATCCTGAAAACAATACCATGAGATTGATACAGATAATGGGAGCAAAGGGAGACTGTCAAAGGTCACAGAACTAGGTAAGTTAGAGCTGACTCAAATAGGCATTCTCCATAGTACTGTACTGCCTCTAAATTTAATTTAGGCCAACAAATAACCTTGTAAGACAGACATGGTTTTCTCTATTTTATAGGTCAGAAAACCGGCTCAGAAAATTTAGAAAACTATACAGAATCACATAGAGCCCCATACCCAACTTTTGTCTGACTCCAAAACAGGTGTGGATCCAGGCTGTATAAGGCCTAAAACTTCCCCATTTTAGAGGCACCCTTTTAAGAAAATGTATAAAATTAAGTCCAGGGTCTTGGAGAGACCAATGCAAGTAAGCGGTCCTAAAACTTAAGCTGCATTTGCTTCTTCAGAAATCCACCTCTGTCCAGTCTGCTTTTACAATGGAATAAGTACCGTGACCTCAGAAAATATGTGGCACAATCCTGGGTACTTTACATCTGTCATTGCTAATCCCTGCAACCCTACAAGATAGAACTTACTGCCCCATTTTACAGATGAACCTGGAGCTTAAGGAAGTTAAATAACCTGTCTGATACTGCAGATCTAGCCATGGCAATTATAGAATCTGATCCAAGGAATTTTTCCCATTAAAATCCTTGCTATTTTCAGCCTACTAAGCTATGGCAAAACTGAAATCAATTTTGGTTTGGAAGTTATTCTCTATGCAGGTATTGACTTTATTTTTTCCTAATACTGCCCTGCATCTGAGCCTCCTGGTGCACTTTAAATATGGGTCCATTCATCACCATTAACAGTTTTCTTGGTGTCACCCCAGGGTAATTTTCTCCTTGTTCTCTTGCCTTATTCAGAGACAATGCTGAGATTTAAGCTGCTCATTGATTCTCAGAGACTACTTCAACGCTACCTCTATATCACGATGGTTCTCTTGCTCTGTTTCTACTATTACTTCTAACTCCAGCTCACAGGCTTTTCTTGTAACCCTAGGAACAGCGAGCTCTACCAAAGCAAGGTCTCCTCTGCTTCCTCAGACTGCTGACCAGTGCTGAGGACAGGGACACTGAATATCTGTGAGCTGAGCACATCCAGACATCAACTGACTCACTCACTGAAGAACGCTACATTCTGGGCATATCTTCCATGACAGTCCAGCAGGGTAGCTGTTGGAAATCCAAACATGTCCACTCCTGCTTACGACCTCAGTCACCACCTCTTCATATGATTCTTCCATGGGCTGTTCCTGAGCACCTGAGGGATAAAAACAAACAAACAGAAACAAACAGGAAAGGGCAGAATAATTGATATGTGAGAAGGAAAAAGTCAACAGTTGTGGAGGCATAAGTGAATGTAAGAAACCTAGATTGCTTGACATAATGTTAGTTACTATAATGTCACTGCAAAATGGGCCCAGAGGTACCAGGACCACACACAAATGAGTCTAGGAGGAAGCAGGATGTGGGAAGGCAGAGAACACATAAACATATATCTCTTCCTGCCAATCCCAAGTTAACAGTCACTCCTGTTTACACTTTGGTCTTGGCATGTGATTGGGATCTTCCATTTTGGTTCCCCACCTAACCACCTACTACTTTCTTCCCTCCAAGCCCCAGAGGAATTCAGAATCTAAAAAAACATTTCAGCCTTCACGATTGGTTGGAACCAAGCAGCTCTCCAGTTCTCTGTAGTTACAAAGACTTACCAAGAGAGTCCATATGTTATCACTGAACAATTCTTAGGAGGCTCCAGACCCAGACTCACCTTTCTCTTGCTCTTGAAGATACAAGAATACCAGTTCTGACCAAGTGTAAACACTTGTCAATTCTTGGAAAAGAAAGACCTACTCTGGACTCCAAAACCAAGCCCAAGGCACTCCAACTAGGTTAAGTAACTTGCCCAAAAACCCACAGAAAATAAGGAATCAAGGTGGAGCAAAGGTTCAAATCCAAGACTTTCTGGATCCAAAGTGTATGCTCTTACATTAAACAGTTGTCTATTTCCTGATCACTAAAGACCTGGTCAGAATGCTTATAAAATTGAACAGAAAGGAAGAGAGTTTGACTAGACTGAATTACTCTTCCAGATCCTAGGAATCCTCTTGTATGTGTTCTAAATTATCTTTTATTATTATTATTTTTTAAAGTTTTCTGAGTCAAGGTTTTGCTCTGTTGCCCAGGCTGGAGTACAGTGGCTCAGTCATAGCTTGCTGTGGCTTTGAACTCCTGGACTCAACGGATCCTCCCACTTCAGCCTCCCAAATAGCTAGGACTACAGGTAAGCACCACCAAGCCTAGCTAATTTTTAAAAATTATTAAAATTTTTTTTTTTGTAGAGATCGGGTCTCATTATCCTGCCCAGGCTGGTCTCCAACTCTTGGCCTGAAGTGATCCTCCTGCCTTGGCCTCCCAAAATGCTGAGATTGTAGGCATGAGCCACTACACCTGGCCCACATGATCTATTTTTTTAAAAAATATTTTTTCTTACTTCAGGATCCTAATTACTGAATTCTTACACTTTTAAGAAACGCAGTGGTTCAATGCATACTCCTTGTTTCCCTCTAATATGTCCTATCAAAATGCTGGCCTTCTGATTTAATGAAATAATAATATGATGCTACCATTATTTATTTTGTCAACCTAAGCATCTGGTTCTTCTTGACAGCTGCACGTTCTGCTAAATGCTGTGATGACCAAGAGAGGCATTTAAATTTTTATTTGGAGGACTCACTTCCAACTTAGAACACAACCTACAAAGGAATTCCCTACCAGCATGCCAGCACATCATTTGGAAGTTCAAGGTATTCTTGCTCAACAACTGCACACATTAAAAGTCCCTGGAGTACATGACGCCTGCTGCCTGGGGTTGGACTCTGTCGCTGGGGATTCTGGAAATTAGGGTAGAATTCACAGCTCTGCCTTTCCACCTGCTGTGACGTCTTCAAGTTACAACTCCGCCGCCTATCAGGGACCTCCGTGATTAGTAAGGGGGAAATTGTCACATTTTTCTCCCTAGATCACAGGTCTGAGGAAGTAGTTTTCCTAAGATTTTGTAAAATGGCTTTATAATTAAAAACATTGATTTTCCTATTAGAAAGGCTATTATATCCTTTGGAAAAAGCTTAGTAGTAGTCCGTGAGAGTCTTGGCTTCTTGCCCTGGCTCCCCCAGGGTCTATGACCTTCGGCAAGTTTCCCCACTTACCAAACAGGTTCCTAACACTCTCCTATCAGTAGGACAGTGAGAGGGAAAGAACCAAACAGGAGGGGTATCTGACGAGACCACCAGGCTTAAGACCTAAAATCCAGCGTCCTCTGGAGGGCGGATGAGAGAAGGGGTACACTTGCCGGTCTGGAGAATGTCCTGGGGCGTTTCAGGTGTAGGAGCTTGTGGGTAGCGTGGTTTCCCACACACTGCCTGGCTTCCTATTCTCCCTTGGAGGGGCTGCCTCTCCTCGCATCCCCGAAAGGCCGGCGCCGGCTTCCCGCCCTCGCTGAAGCCCGCACGGAGGCCCGGGGAGCCCACCGCGGCCTCCCCCTCCCACGCCCCGACCCCATGGGCCCTGCTCCTCTCCGCAGACGCTGCCCTCCCGCCTCGGGCCCCGGGCCCCGGGCTCGCCCAGCGTCCTGAACCTCGGCACCCCGCTCTCCGGTCCACGGGACCCTGCTCTGCGGACCGCCGACCTCTCCGCTCGCGGCTGGCCTCCCTTGGGGGCCGGGCCGGCCGGGCCTGCTCATTTCCGTGGCGGCCGCTGTCATAATGCGGCCACACGGAGGGCCCGGGACAGCGGCCTGATAGCGCAGCCCCGCCTTGCCTCGGCGCTTTGACCAGGCCGGGGGCCTCACTCACCGCAGCGGCGCGTGCCCGCAGACAAAGGCCGGCGCCGTGCCCGCAGCAGCACCAGTGCCGGCGCCGGCGGACCGGACTACAACTCCCAGGAGTCTCCGCGCGAGCTCGCCCGCCGGGCCGTGGGTCTCGGCGGCCCCGGCTTCCCAAGAGCACTGTGGGAAATGTAGTTCTCTGGCGCTCCCGGTGCTCGGGCTCCGCAGGTCCCGGGGACGCGGGGACCTCAAGCCGTCGGATTTGGACTGGGAATCCAGAGACCCATAGCGCCGACCTGTCAGTGGACGCGGAGTCGGGTCCGAGCCACGGCCGCTCAGATTAGCAAGATCTGATTGACAGCATCGGGGTAGCAGGCGCTGAGCCAGGGACTCAGAAGTCCAGGGTTCTTGTAGGGCGTCGCGGAAGGAAACGAAGTTTTGGGGAGAAATCCGTTGATAAAGCCTTGGGGGCTTCCAGGTCCTGTGTTGAGCAGCTCGCTGCATGAACAAAGGCGAAGCTCGCTTTCATGGAGCTTCTGTGAAGAGCAACAGGAACACAGTCAGTCCAAGTCTTAGTGAGATACTGGGAGGAGCATGGTTGCTTTTGAACACGTAGGAGATAAAGCCTCTCTAATAATACCTTTTTTTTTGTTTTTTTTTTCTTCACTCTGTCTCTCAGGCTGGAGTGCAGTGGCAGGATCTCGGCTCACTGCAACCTCCGCCTTCTGGGCTCAAGTGATTCTCCTGCCTCAGCCTCCCAAGTAGCTGGGACTACCATGCCACCATGCCCGGCTAATTTTTTTTGTATTTTTAGTAGAGGCCGGTTTTACCATGTTGGCCAGGCTGTCTGATATGCCTTAAGCCTCCTTCAAACGCACTTTTCCAGGATCGGGGCCTCATCCTGGAGCTCTTCTGCCTGGCCGGGCGTTTCTCTGGGTCCCTGCCTCTGGAGGGATGTGTCTGCCCATCCTCTTGCGTGAAGGACTCATAAAGAATGCTTCCTCTTGCTATGTTCTTGTCCTCTACCCAAAAGCCACACATTTGTTAAACCAAACAACTTAATTTCACTCAATATGCAAAGGTGTCATGTAAGTAATAAGTTGATTCCTAAATGTTAGCTGTTACTATTGCACATCATTTCTGAATTTCATTCAACATTTATCTGTGGAACCCATTTTAAGTGCTGACACTGGGGACACGAATGTGAGCAAGACACACTGTGCTCCTAGGGAGGGGCTGACAGTCTAGTGGAGAAAACAAAAACCACCTTCCTCACATGGGGGTCAGGGGTGTTGCGCAGTGAAGTCCCAGAGTGTGTGGTGCAAACTGTCCTGAAGCTCCCCACTCCTGAACTGCTCCAGGTGGCTCCTCCCCCCACTCCTCCCAAATCTGAGAGAGAAAGGAGTGGAGGGTGGCACACAGCAAAGGTCAAGGCTCAGAGTCCTAAGGTTGCATCCTCTGCTTCACACAAGGGTACATAAGTTCCGTTGAGGTCAAGACCGGCTGTGGACGCTAGGACAAGTTTCAGATCCTGCTGTGAAGGTACATGACAAAGCATTGATGGGAAAAGGTGGCTGTGAGGGGCAATCATCATCACTTTTATAAATCTGCATAAACTCCCTTAAGGGGTCTCAGGAAAGTGGACACATTGAAGGGCCCAAAGTGGGGGAGAAAGTTGTTAGGATTGGGGTTGATGTGACCCCAGCCTCCATAGACAGACTGCCCAGTTGCAAAATAGGGCACATCCTCACCCACCACCTGCATCTTAAGGCAAATACTCAACAAGAGGGAGGGTGTGGGGTGAGGGTGAAAGGGAAATTGTTGTCGGCAGTATAGATTTGAAAAATTGCCAAAGAACAATTCCCCCACTTTGCAGGCATTTCAAAATATTAGGGGAAGGACAGATAATTCAATAAATGGTGTTATGACAAGGGTGAGACATTGGAGGGGGGGAGTTGAATGTTTACCTAACTCCCATGCCAAGAGAACCTCCAGATGGATTAATGTAAAATGGGAAACACAGAGCCACAAAGGCCCAGAAGAGCACATGGATTAATCTTCTTATAATCTTGGGATAGGGAAGGCTTTCTTTCTTTCTTTCTTTTTCTTTTTTTTTTTTAGAGGAGTCTCGCTCTGTCGCCCAGGCTGGAGTGCAGTGTTGCTATCTTGCCTCACTGCAAGCTCTGCCAGGGAAGGCTTTCTTAACCAATGTAACAAAGGCAGAAACAATAAAGAAGAAGATTAAAATCCAGCACTTCTGTGTGGACAAAGCACCACTAAATGAAGTTAACATATGACAAGCTGGGAAAATATTAGCAACTGTCATACTTAAAGACACCATACAAATCAATAAGAAAAAGACAGTTTACTAGAAATGTGGCAAAGGACAGCAACTCACACACACACAAATGAAAGGAAAATATATTCACTGTTCATTTTATAAAATTTCCAATTGAAACAAATGAAAATTACCTCCCAAGTACTAAATGGCAAAGATTGCAAAGGAGACTGGGGAAGTGGACATGTCTGTCCGTGTGTAAATTGAGATGACTGCTCTGATAGGACATTTGGCAGTGCATACCAAAAGTCCTGAAAATGTACATATTCCTTCTATAATTTTTTCTTTGGGGAAAAAGAATCAGCTAATTGTATCCTAATTGTGGAACGAAAGCCTTAGGGTCCAGGTTGCTGAAGTGAATTATTGGCTTTGAAAGGACTTTTAGTTCCTTTGAAAGGAGTGGCTGCCCTAGAAGTTTCCATGAGACTGTGAAGCTCTAGGGAAGCTGAAGCCTTCACTTGCTGCCATAGTTCTGAACAAATACAGTCATTTGGTGCTTAGTGATGGGGACACCTTCGGAGAAATGCATCGTTAGGCAATTTCATCTTTGAACATTGTAGAATGTACTTACACAAACCTAGCTGGTACCTCCCACTATACACTAGGCTCAGTGGTTTAGACTCTATTCAGTATAGTCACATGCTAGTGACTGTACTGAATACTGCATGCAATTGTAATGCAATGACAAATATTTGTGTATCTAAACATAGAAATGGTATAGTAAAAATGTGGTGGTATAATCTTCTGGGACCACTGTTCCATATGTGGTCAATTGTTGACTGAAAGGTTATAATGCGGCGCATGACTGTACCTGGGTCTAGAGTGGTAGAATGAGAGCACACCCTCCTGGGGGGGGTTAATCAGAACACTTTCCATCATGCTTACCATCTGTGTCTACTCCAGTCCCTGTCAGAAATGCAGACCTCTTCAGTCCCCACTGGCTGTGTTCCTCCTTCCTCAGTGCTCTGCACACTCACTGCACTGTGCAATCCTTTTGTCCACTCCACACTCTCCTCTCACTCTGTCCATTAGGGAGGAGTGCTTGGGAGAAAGTGAGCTTTCTTGCAGACCCCTCCATCTCGGTGGCCAAGCTTGGGCAGCTGGACCCCCAGGATAAAGGGATCTGTGCTTTAGTGTGATTCTTTGGAAAGATTGTTGAACCTGGGCCAGAGCTGTCCAAGCATTTCCTGATGTGCTAGCTATTTCTCAGGGCTGGAAGTGATCACGGCTTCTCCTTCGACAAACTGTTCCTTTTCTCTGAAGCCACCTTTGTCCTTTTGAGCGAATGTGTCTTGTGTTTGATTTCACTAGCACCTGATTTATAAACTCAGGATACGAAGACTTTGGCCTTCATGAACCTAGTATGTGCATCATTGCTCTCGTCCCCTGATAAACTCCCACAACTGTTAATATAAAAATCATACTGATGGAAGCTATCTCTGCAGGCTTCAGGCAGATTTTGGTTCTTGCCTTTCATTTCTACCATTTAGCCAACTGTGCCCTTCTTCAACCTCTTGATGGAATTGCTTATAAGGCAGAAGTGGGAGGGAAAGTGTGGTGTGCAGCAGATGACCCACACCTAGTACAAATTTGCATTTGTTTTCAGCACTGTGGGCTAAGCCCAACATTTCTTGCAGAGGCTCTGATGCCCAGATCTGATTACCCTGTTTGGTGTCACTTAGTGGGGCTGCAGACAAAACCCCTCAGACACCGAGTTAAAGAAGGAAGGGCTTTATTCGGCTGGAAGCATCAGCAAGACTCACCTCTCAAAAACCGAGCTCCCCGAGTGAGCAATTCCTGTCCCTCTTAAGGGCTTACAACTCTAAGGGTGTCCATGTGAGAGGGTCATGATCGATTGAGCAAGCAGGGGGTACGTGACTGGGGGCTGCATGCACTGGTAATTAGAACGGAGCAGAACAGGACAGGGATTTTCACAGTGCTTTTCCATACAATGTCTTTAGATAACATAACCGATTAGGTCAGGGGTCGATCTTTAACTACCATGCCCAGGGTGTGGCAGTGGGCTCTCTGCCTGTGGATTTCATTTCCACCTTTTAGTTTTCACTTCTTTTTTCTTTAAAGGCAGAAATCGGGCATAAGACAATATGAGGGGTGGTCTCCTCCCTTAGCTGAAGTAGGAGCTAGGTGTTCCTCCTCAGATCAACTGTTAGATGCTACTTCCTCTCACACCTGAGTCCTGAGCTGTGGACCCTGGAGCTAGGGTTCTTCACTGGGGCCCACAGATGGGCTCCATGTGAGTCTGTGAACTGATGAAATGGCAAAAGTGGATGTCTTAGTCCATTTAGTGTTGCTATAAAGGAATGCCTGAAGTTGGGTAATTTA